GACCTGTTTCTGTCCTTAGGCAAATGGGGAGACACCTACTCTGCTGGGTTACTTAGAAGAAGCTATCCTCAATCACTCTACCCCTCCCCCCTCCCCAATTACCTGTGGGCGGAAACACATCCAGTGTTCGAAACCTTGTGTTTTCTAGTTTTTAAATCAACGGATGATGGGCGTCTGAAAACCCAGCAATTCCCTAGGACTATCTTAATGACATACTCCATATTTCACTCTCAGGTCCTGCCCATCGAGGATGTCCCAGAAACAGGTTCAGTTTAGTGGAGGGTCATGCTATGCCCCAAAACAATGAACCCAGCTTCTTTAAATATAGGATTTGACGTTCTCACAGCGGTTGTTGTGAAAATTTCAGCTGACTTTTCGGATAAACAATTCACCTCCTTCTTTGGGGTCAAACATTAAACCAAGCAAGAAACCAGCATGCTTTGCTTGATGTTTGCTTTATGCTGGTCTCATGTTTGGCATATTCTTTGGCCCTAAAGATGGAGGCGACAAGTTCATCTGAAACGTCGGTTCACTTTAGACGGACTACAGGGCCTTATGTCTCAGAAACCTTCAGTTTATATAACCATGGGCCCGGAGATAAACAGAGTAATTGGCCGGTCTTCCAGGTAACAGCAGGTTAGCATAACTACGGTTACAAAAGTTGGGGATACTTCATACGAAAAATGGAATTGAAAGTGGACGATGTGAAATGTCTACTGGTCTTCTATCGCTACGAAACATACAGCCATGAGGATGTTCCTTGCAATAAGATACTCGTAGTAGAATTTCGGTTATTAGGCCCTGGGCTAAACATTCTTGAGACAAATTTTATTAGTATGGCATTCTTTTAGGTAAATAATGTAACAATGAAATGGGTAGGGTACAGCAATAGTTCATGGAGGAACCACCACACAGCTGTGGGCGCCACTTGTTCGGCTGCTTATATTGGACGAAAGTTGTTGCAAGGGATTTTTTTCTACGTGTCTCAGTGGTCTCAGTGTGCACTCTTCAACATCAACTGTTCGTACACTTACCAGCAGGGGGATGAAAGTGGGGTAGGAGAAGGGGAAACATGCAGATCTGCCATCTCTACTCATTCACCTGAACTAGATAGTCTGGAACGGTCAGTAACCAATCGTAATACAACTATCGCAATTAATCGAATCGCATAAGTGTGACCCAATCAGAGAATCCCAAAGTTCCGTTGAAAGGTTTGGGCGGTTTGGGCCCCTACCAGCCTTACCAGTACTCACGGTCTGCCGCAATAGGCGAGCAGTACCAGTCTCCCTGATACGACGACCAATGGCGTGAAACGTGATCGGGTTCCGGAGTATATGTTGAGGTTATCTCTCAGCGTACATCGTTACAGCTACTGTACCGTTACCACTGGCGTCGCCAAAAATTACGGGCATATAGGCGTATTATTGGAATGTTTGACCGTTTTCAGAGCAGACTAATAAGGAAAACCACGACACTGAAGGAAGAATACTTCAATGACAAAGCCTGGTATCACTAATTTACATACATAGCTCATGACTGGGTGATTCATTATTGAAATGAGATGGTGTAACTGATAAGAAAGATAAGTGCCCATTCCCAGCTTCCACCCTCAACTGCAAGTTCCTTCAAAACTGCACCCAGCAGAAGTTACCTTTGTAACCGAAATCTTACTATACCACTGTTCCCAGGAAGACTTTCAGCTTTGCTCTAGTTCATTACCGCACCATTTCCAGTTAAAAGCTCCCTTTGTATCAGGCCATTGAGGCCCAATGGAATGTGGGCAATAAAGCACTTTGTTTCAGAACATTTTGAATAAGAAATGTATGAAACAAATATTTACCTACCTGGACTTAAATGGTTTCATTTAAACACATTTTAATAAGCCTAATCAGTTTCATGGGTACTCAAAACTCTACTACAAGAATACTGTACAATACTTCCCTCCTTACTGAATCATTATCTTTCTTGAAGTCTCTTATATTCAAATTTTTTCTACAGTATCTGATAAATTCAGAAAATCTTATCAGCAGCTGATATGTTGAAAGCCACAGTGATGATACCCAATATCAACTTCACCTTGAGAGAAAGATATTGCATAATATTTTGTATGAACTTTATAAAAGTGATATGCCTCAGTAATCACTAGTCAGTTTTATGGCCTTTCTTGTAAACTGGTACAATTATAAGACTCCTTCCACTCTTCAGACAATTCATTCTTATTCCAACCAGAATTAATGAGTTCATGATGGATGTCAGATCGTAATTTTTCACCTTCTTGAATCAATTATACCAGAATTTATGATATAAACTCTGTCCCAAGTATGTAGGGGAGTCAAATGAAAACCTTAAATATTTTTTTGAGTACTATTTATTGTGCACAAGTGGTACAAAGCTGTATCACTTTTCAACATAATCTCCCCCACGCTCAATGCAAGTCCTCCAGCGCTTACAAAGTGCATGAATTCCTTTAGAAAGAAATTCTTTTGGTAGTCCGTGCAACCGCGTACCTCTAATGTTTAAACTTGCTGCAATTTCATTCAATGTCACTCGGCGGTTTTCCCTCACTATAGCTTCAACTGCTGCAGTGTTCTCTGGAGTCACAACTCAATCTTCCTGACCCAGACAAGGAGCATCTTCCACTGAAGTCACACCATTTGCAAACTTCCTACTCCATTCGTACAATTGCTGATGTGATAAATATGCATCACCATACTGAAACTTCATTCTTCGATAAATTTCAATAGGTTTCACACCTTCGCTACACAAAAACCGAATAACAGAACCCTGTTCTTCCTTGGTGCAAGTCTCAAGTGGGGCAGCCATCTTATACTAGTGCTGTGACGGTGATCGTGCATCTGCACTATGCTGCAACCTACAGGCCATTCTGCACGCTGTTTGTAGCACGCTTACCAACTTACAGGATAATGGCGTGAAATTTCGATTTTTTATTACAAATTTAAGGTTTTAATTTGACTCGCCCTCGTATATCGTATAGAGTGCAACAGGATGCTTAAATATAATATTATACCAGAATTTGTTCAATACCTGACAATTAATGCCTTTTCAAACTTACAATAACAATTTCAGCTTCAGAAGGACTATGCTCAGGTACTAATGGCTCAACTGAATATACTTCTGCCTAACATCACAAAACCTATATACATTCAACAGCCCAGAGAATTCTCCCATCTATTCAAAATTCATGAATCAGCAACCAGATCACCATTCTCATATTTCACCAAGTTAGTTCTAGATTGGGATCCCTTCTCAAATTAATTTATTCCTCTATGTAAGTCTCTAATACAAATTTTCATAATAAGCTTATTTTTTATGGTGACGAGTTGTTAGACCCACACCCAACCCCAAAACTGGAGGACCACAACTTAACTGGCTGTCCATGACTGCTTATTCAATATACAGGGTGTTTCACGACTTTAGGGCATAACTGCAGGAGGTGATTTCCTAGGTCTTTGTGATGAAAAAAGTTCACATAAACATGTGTCCGATTCTGGACGGTTACAGAGTTAGACCATTTTTTCATTCTCATACATGCCCTCGTGTGAACCGCGGCTGTCAGCTGGCGGGTCGCTATTTTTAGCTAGCTACAGACAGAGCGTTCTCGTTATCTCGAAACTTGAGATGTACCTAAGGTGGGGTGGGTTGGTATGTCCAGCACGGTTCACAACCAAGCGACAGCGTGTGTTACAGCCGGTGGTGGCATTTTCGAAAATCAGCTTTAAACACCAATAAATTCAAATTAAAGATAATTTCACGAAGTTAACTTCAAATTCATACTTTAAATGTATCATGTATTATGCTGGTTTATTATTTTGTTCCGTTTATTGTCAGTAATCATTACCTTCTATTCTGAGTTTAAAACGGTCATAACTCCGTAACCGTCAAAAATCTGACACATGTTTATATGAACTTTTTTGATCACAAAGACCTAGGAAATCACCTCCTGCAGTTATGCCCTAAAGTCGTGATACACCCTGTATTCGCAGCTACCATCCATCCGCAACCTGAGGAGGCACCATGCAGTGGTGACAAGGGACCAAGGAGAATGAGATAGGCAGGGCATGTAGCTTGAATGGGGGAGGGGAGGAATGCATATAGGATATTGGTGGGAAAGCCGGAAGGAAGAAGACCACTGGGAAGACCAAGACGTAGGTGGGTGGACAATATTAAAATGGATCTTAGAAAGATAGGATAGAATGGTATGGATTAAATTGATCTGGCTCAGGATAGGGCCCAGTGAAGGGCTCTTGTGAACATGGTAATGAAACTTCAGGTTCCACAAAATGCTGGGAAGTTCTTGAGTAGTTGCACGATTGGCAGCTTCTCAAGAAGGGCTCAGCTCCATGAGTGATGTAAGTCTCTAATGTTCTTGTTCTTCCTGTATGTTGCAAACTCATTAATTTTGTTTTTCAGATATTCTTTTTGTTCCTGAAATGTATACTAAAAAGAATGTTGAGTAAATCGATGTGTTTTAAACCTAAAAGATATAAACATGTGCAGCAATAGCAAGTAAGAGCTTAATGTCTAAAATGTCAGTATGATGATTTTTTAAGTTGTCAGTTTTTATGATGGTATAGCACATCACTTAAAAATATTATTTGTCCGTGGTCTGAGAGTAGCCCTACTGAGGGGCCCAATGTGGTAGGTTTCCTGACCCAAAGATGAAACTATATAACCAAAATATTTTGTTTTAAAAGAAACTCCAATGATAAACAGAATCCAATTTTATAGTTCTAATTAAGATAATTTTATTAACATCTGTTTCAAATAAGTGAAGACAAGATGAGTTAATAATGAGTTTTGAAGAGAGAAATATCTATCATAAGACCTTCCTTTGTGGTATCCACTGCTCGAGAGACATCACAGTATTTCATGAAATTCTACCACAGGAAGGACTTATGTACACTCCAAAATAATCTGCATTATAAGCCAAAAACGCAGCTATACCCTAATCCACGAAAAAAAAAAATCAGTTAACTTGATATGATTCAGCAAAAGAAGTTTATTTAACAGTCTGTATACATATAAGTATAGTAATGCCAAAAACATTAGGATATATCTTCAAGCCTCTTTGAAATCTATACTGAAATCATAATCATCATTTTTATCCAGAGTGACACTTTCCAAGACATCAGCAAGCTTTTCTGCATCACGTGCTGTAAACAAAGGGGAAAAAATACTGTTGTCACAAAATCACCTTTTGTATATACACTCAACTCTCGATTATCCGGGGGCAGATAAACCGGTTTGCAGCTTAACTGGGGCTTCTTTGAGGCTTATATGTTGTTTAATATTCATTCACTTCCGTTTCACATGGTGAGTTGTAACACTATTTTCGCACTAGTGTGAACCAAGCTCTGCATTTTTTGGTCCCGTTATGCTAACTCAATGTTCTAGGGAAGGGGTGAAAGAATGCAAGGATTTGTGGAAAGTTTCAAGGACAGATATACCGCCCCAGTTAGTTCCTTTGTATCGATCTTCAAGTGCGTTAGCAAAATGTCAGGGTGCAAAAGGAAGCGTGTTGTGTTAAGTATTCAACAGAAAAAGGAAAATGCCACGAAAAAGTAAACGACAATATGAATTTTTTTTAAGTGTTAATATTCATAAAAAGTGTTGGATGGTGTTGAAGACTGTGATTGAAATAATTAATTCATACTTCAGTGTAATGTAAAAAAAGTATTAAATAGGCCATGAGATGACATAAAAATGAGGTTGAATAAATTTAAATACAGGTAGGCCTGTAGTATTATGAAGGTACAGTATTACAGTACTTTTAATAAAATTTGTCTTAACCGGGTTTTCGATTAATCGTGATTTCCATCCCCACCATTATCCCGGATAATCGAGAGTTGAGTGTATTCTGAGATACAGTACTCTTCAATTATTAGAATCTTTGATAAGGACACTTCACATTTAATAACAGTCTAAACATGTATGTGGTTTATATAACCCAATCTTACAAAAAACACTTTCCTCTCATAGTTTAAGGCCCACCAACATGTTAACAATAACTTGAAATTAGATTTAACAATTTTAACAATTACTAATGCACACTAATGACATTTCTGAAATACTTTTTTATTAAACTGTCTGTAATTTAATGTAGCCATTAAAATTAAAATTAATCATCTTTGTTACTGGCCAATTTTTCAATGTCCCCTGCACTAAGCCTTATGGCATCCGAGTGGCTGCAGCTCCCCAATACAGGAAGAGGCATAGAAGCATATCTCCATGCCTTCTCTAGCAGACAGGAAACAAATTTACACTGTACATACCCCCATTGCCATGCTATGAAATGTTAGCTGGCCCTCAAAACTGTTCTCTACTTGGTATCCATACCCCTGCAAGAATTTCCACTCTCTAACGGCCATTCACTTTACCGACCAAAATATCATGCGTCTACAAGTAAGTCACTCACTCACTCACTCACCTCTTCGGGATTTCTCCTTTTTTAGTTTCTTTTGTTCAATTTTCTTCATTTTATTCAATTTCTTATTACCCTCAAGATCCATGAGGGCTTCTGTCTTCTTATCCTCTTTTTCTCTTCCCTTGTTTCTTTTCCGATTCCGTTTCCTTTTATTGCGCTTGGTGGCTGACGCCGATACAGACACTAATACATTGTCGCTCAACTAAAAGAAGGTAAACATTAAATAAATATTAGTGATCTCCTCTTAACCTCCTTGGGAATGTTATTTTGATTATTACTGTCTTTGCCAAATATTTTAAATCTTCCACATTTACAAAGGATTTATTAGCTTTCTTTATGTTGTGATTTTTTCCCTGCATTCTGCTGATGAAACACAAATAACCACAAATTCTATACAACATAATGATTTCCAGCTGGGAGAAAACATAAATATTGATTACTGTTTTGTCAGAGTTCGAGTCCCAGTAGGGTAAAGAATTTTCACTTCTCCATGTTGTCCAGACCAACTCTGGGGTTCACCCAACCTCCTATACAGGTATGGGGGCTCTTTCCTGGGTGTAAAGTGGCCGGGGCGTAAAGCTTACCACTCACCTACAGCTAATGCCAAGGTCAAGAAAATGTGGATCTATACATCCATTCCCCCATGTCTTCAGGGCATAATTCTTAATCAGTTAAGCACAGGGACAACTTTACTTTACCTTTATCGATTATTGTTTTGACCACTATTACATGAAACCAAGGTACGAGCTGTGGAAGATTAAAGTTTATTACACTAAATGCAGATTATGTACAAAATCAGAATTCTCTAAATACAGGAAAATAATCTATTGTTTATACTGGACTTCGTCTGGATCCAGGAAATATATGTGTTAAATGCAGGAATGTTAAGTTGGGATTTCACTCGATGTTTTATATTTCTTTCTCTTTTTTGCAAGGGGGGGGTAATTCTTCCTTAATTTTATGGTTGCTATACATACGATTTCACCACTGATGTCTCCTTTATCTTCCTCCATTTTCTGCTCAGTTTCATCCTTAGCTTCTACAGGACCAGTTGACTGTATGACCATTCCTTTTGCCATCAGATTTTGTGTGAGACTTGCATTAAGTGTATCTGTCTCCATTGCTTCATATGATGAGATGTCAAACTCTGCTGCCATCTGCTGGACAACTGCTGAACTTACGTGAGGATCACATTCATCCTCTGGCGGAATCGTGCAGTATCTGATCTTTCCGCTATTACATATGTTAAAATGTAAGTATATGACATTTCTATAATGTACACATCACATCTATTAACATTTTTACACATCTTTAAAGTGTTAATTGCTATCCTGATTCTTGATATTCTTTATTTCGGACCATGTTGAGGCATGTCTTTTTGAGCTACTGTGAATTGTGACAACTGCCGACAAAAGTTATGCTGTCACAGATGATGGTGGGTGTTGTGGTTACTGAAGCTATACTCCATCAAAGCTTGTGGACACACTGCCTCAAAGCTTCCAAGCAACCAGTGGACACACACTGAAGCACGAGGGGGTTAACAACAGTGACCAAAGCAGAACTAGGTAAGGCATCTGCATGAGATTCCAGTGACTGTCATGGCAGCTTAGAAACACCAGTGCCTTTGCTGGCAGTCAGTATGTTAGCAAATGAGACGTGAGGTTCTCACAGCAATGACCATGAAAATTACTGACTCTTGGGATGTGATGCTATGTAGTCTGGTATATGTTCACCATTCATCCCTGAAGATGGAGCCAGCAAATTCCTCTGAAACACTGGTAAATATCTACCAGACTACACAATGTAAATATGCAAAAGACAATTTTCAGAGATACCAGCATAAAGATCTCAAATTTTATATTAAATTGCATTGCGGCCTGTATTTACTATTCCATGCAGGTAGGTAGACATCTAATAAGCCGAGGTAGCCGAGTGGCCTAAGGCATGTACTGTCTTCACTTGTTCGGAAGCCAGGATTGTGGGTTTGAATCGCACACAAGGCATGGAAGTTTGGTATGTATATGTGTTGTCCTGTGTTTAGGCAGAGGCCTTGTGATCAGCTGATCACTTGTCCAAGGAGTCCTACCACCTGTAAAATGATCATGAAACTGAAAATCACAGGCCAGGGCCCAAGGGGGTGTAGAACCAGTGGGGAGAGGGGGGGGAAGACATTTAATAATCTAAAATGTTCTTTTAATAATTTATTACAGTAATCCTGGAAAGAACTGTTTTGATGCCTCTCATAGGAATAGTTTACCAGAGTGGGCAATCTGCACTTACCGGTTCCAATCTTCTATAAGGGATCTCGCAGCTGCATCTGCATTTGGAACCCCTCCTTTCTTGAACCGACCCTTCCGGTGGGCCAAAAGGGAAAAGAATTCCTGAGGCGTAGTAAAATCCGACAGATTGTACAATTCCATTATCTGCAAGAATGAAACATTAATACTTAACCTAATTCCTAAGGCATAATAAAATCTGACAGATTGTACAATTCCATCATCTGCAAGAATCAAACACTAACACTTGACCTTCATGCTGCTAAGTCTGTAATGTTACAGGTTACAGAAACACAACTCTCCCAAACTACGAGTAACTTTACAAACGTGTTCAAACTTTCTGGCTGTCTATCATGATCATGAATCACCTACTTTCCCAAATAAGCACTCGTACTGCAAGTGTAGCCAGTCATGGTTAACAGTTTGTGGGCCTTTATACCAAAGCATTTATATTTTGAATGTAAAAATTAAAAAAAAAGTGGTAAAGTTGTCCATGTGCTTAACTAATTAAGCACTACACCATGAAGGCATATGGGGGAGTGGATGTATAGATCCACATTTTCTTGACCTAAGCACTAGATGGAGGTGAGTGGTCAGCTTCACTCCCCTGAGAAAGAGCCTTCAGTACCTATTTAAAAGTTGGTTGGGTGGACCCCAGAGCCTGTATGGATGACATGGAGAAGTGAAAATTCTTGACCCTACCGGGACTCAAACTCCAACCCTTTGGTTATCCAGCCCATAGCCAGTCATTATACTGACTATGCTATCCCAGCTCCTTTTATATTTTGAATGTATCGCTTGAAAATAACTCACAGCTTGATGAATACAATAAATTTACCCACAGATAAATATTCAGGTAAACTGTAAAATTCTAAACAGCACTTTATTTATGGTTTATGTAACAACACTGTCAATAGCTCTGGCTAGGCAACATCAAATCGTAGGATGATTAATGAATAATGAATCACAGGATTTTGAAGGAACTGGTCATGGTTAAATTCAAGACATTCTTCTGGCATTTGGCTGCAGTAACTCATGAAATCCATCAATAAAACTTCATACAGGACAGCTGGTATCCCGGCCAAGATTCAAACTGGTCACCTCCTGAGTATACGTCATAAACAATTCTCCTTCAGCTGACTTGCTTTGTATATGGGCATCATTAAGTCTACCAAAACAAACAAACTCCATGATTTTAGTCCACAAGCGAACTATACTGACCGAGCAACTGCCGCTTGTCAGTGAAGTTAGTGCCAACTTTAGTGGATAGATGGTGTCACGTGGTCAGCACAACAAATCCCCACGGCCATTAATTTCGGTTTTCTACACCAGATCCGCTACCTTCTTGAAACGGCTCCTCAATTATCATCATGAGGCTGAGAGGATCCTGTTCCAGACTCACTACATCTCAGAAAATATCTGGTAGCTCTGGGAATTGAACCCGGACCTCTTGATCTGTAGCCAGGAATTCTGACCACTAGACCACAGAGGCGGTCTTCATTAAGTCTGTCACAGAGACGTATAATTTCTCAATGTGTGCCACAGTTCTTTGCCAGTCTTGCCTCATTGATTCATACTGTCATAGAAACACATGATCAAAAATTGATTGCATACTGTCATGTTGCCGTAAAATGGTGCATAGAACCGTTCAACACAAGATCAGTACTCTTTCCATGTGCCTATGATGTCATATATCATTTATACAGGGCATACCAGGAGGAAAAAGTGTACATGTACATGTGTCGTATTCCGAACAGTTTCCGAGACGGAACTGTTTCACTGTACAGTATTGTACTGTACGAGGTGTGTTCAAAAAATGACGGGAATTTCCGTATTTTGGAAAAAATATTTATTCATTCGTCTACATTAATGTTGTCGCCTTCAAAATAGTCCCCATTCGATATTATGCACTTACGCCAGCGNCACAGTACATAATATCTCTTGTCAACAATTTTGGAACTGTAGAGTGAAATAACTCTCTCGGAAACTGTTCAGAATAGGACACATGTACATATACACTTTTTTTTGCTTTGAATGACCAATACTATGACCTTGCAGAACATTCATCTTTCTTCCGGGGACACCCTGTATATCATCATAACAAGAAAGAAGACATTTCCCCTAAAAAGTCATGTCAGAATTCATGAACATCCAGTCACTGTCAAATGTGTCTCAATGTTGGTTGCAGCTTCTTGAGCACATATGAAAAGAAACAAATAACAACACTTTGGGCTGCGCCATAGCTCAAGCAGTTAGTTGCTGGCTTCCCACCGCAGCAGCCCGTGTTCGATCCTGGGTCTGGTCAAGTGGGATTTGTGGTGGACTAAGTGGCGCTGGTGCGGGTTTTCTCCGAGTACTTTGGTTTCAACTGCCAATCTTCATTCCACCAAATTCTCCATCATCATAATCACCCAGGGCAGGCTACAATAGGCCAATCAGTGGCTTCCGTGCCGAGTGGACCCACTTGGACTCCACCCCCTAGTAAGCGAATTAAAAAAATGACAACACTTAGCTCTTCATGAGATGCAGAATGGTGGAATGAAGAGAATCATAATTTGTACCCTCTGCCATGGACCTGACTAGATCCAAGCCTTGGCAAAGAACATTCTGAGCTGCCTAGTTATATTTATAAATACCTGCTGCTTGTTTGCTCTCTGCAATACAGCTGTTGCAGGTATGATAGGGTCAGATAAAGAATCGGTTCGCACAGCATTCTTCAATGTAGCCACAGCATCAGAATTTGATCCTCCCTGACTGGAGGCAAACACAATACCAGGGCTGTCCAGCAGTTTGATTTTGGAATCTAACTGCACTGCCTGCATATTCCTGCATAACATATTTCAACATAATAAATGTCATTTCCTCTTTAGATACTTCAGTGTTTGCCTAATATTCTATTAATAATTCTGGGACATTCATTCCCTTTTATTTATCTCCAAGACTTACTGAAGGAGTGAGTTACATGCAAAGTATTTCCTAAGTAGTTACTATAGGATTCTGACGATGGTGTATAACACATAGAGATATTGGGTTTTCGGACTTTATCCATCGTCCTGGTTTTAAGATAACTAAGAAAAACATGACGTTTCAGAAGCTGGATCTGTTTCTGAAACATCGTGTTTTTCTTAGTTATCTTAAAACCAGGATGATGGATAAAGTCTGAAAACCCAATATCTCCAAAGTATTTCCTTTTTCTCTGTATCCCTTGTCCCAAGCATTTTTTGCTCCAATAAATATTTAGTGAGATACGCATCCACTGTGCTCCAGATCAGTACAGAAACACATTTAAGCCTTCATGTACAGTGTCCATTATTGCTCTGATTTTAATAAAAAAAAAAACTGGAATAAGTTGACGGATTTTAGTCGAGTTGTCCCTGTATTCCCTAATTAAGCACTGCACCATGAAGACACTGGGAGACTGGAGGTATAGCTCCACCATTCTTGACCTCGGCACTAGTTGGACATGAATGGTCAGCTTCATGTTCTAACCACTTTACTCACTGAACAAGAGGTTGGGTGGGTCCCAGACTGGTCTGGATAACATGAAGAGAAAGAAATTGCTTCTATTGGGACTTGAACTCTGAACTTTCAGCCATCCAGCCTATAGCCAGTTGATGTACCGAATGGCCAGATTTTAGCAAAATCCCCAAATCAAGTTTCATGAATATCCATTCAGCAGTTCTAGAGTCGTTACACATGGATGGGTAGGCAGAAATGGTGAGAACATCACATGCATTTTTTAAACTTTTTGTTGCAAAAATATGAGAAAATTTGTTTTTGTGGTTTGCTTTATGACATTGTCAGCAACTCTTGACTACATAGCATTTAATGGCAGAATGATTATGAATACTGAATTGGAAAGGATCTGTGGGGCTGTGGCCCAAGGTGCTATTCTGGCTTGTCTTAAAGAGACTGAGGGAAAAAAAAAATCCCAGTCAGGTTACCTAGTGTCCTTACTGAGACTCAAACCAAGCATCACCCAAATACAAGTCTTGAGTGTTATGCCTACCTCAGCCTGGTTGGGCCCGAAAACACTGAGGGCAATGGCTATAAAGTTGTCCTCTGGGCTGTGACACCATGTAGTCCAGCAGAAGTTTACTAGTGTTTCAGGCCCTTTTACTCCAGAAATGGAAACTATACTTTACTCTGAATGCTGGTAAACTTCTAAGAGAATATATGGCATACATCCCTGAAGACAGTAACCTTTAAAATGTAATAATTTATACTGGGCTAAAACCTCTGGATAAGGCACTATCACATAACAACAATTATTTTGCTACATAAAAGTTTCAGTATCACAGAATGTACACTCAACATTTTCTGTCATGAACATCCAATGATTCTAACACTATAAGCATTCAAAACAAATGTTTGTCCCAAACAGAAACTTTGAATGCTAAATATGTATTAATGTTCCTCAATTTAGTTTTTTTTTCCCTACAGAAAACACTGAATTTCAAAGAGACCTAGTTAATAATCTTAAGTGTTAAATTTCCTCCATTAAAGATTGCCTTCAGTTTAGTGTTCAAATCCACTACTCCCCAAACAAAACCTTAAACAGGCATTTCACTGCAGTTAATATTGTCAGATTCATAAATTTAACTGTGACTGGTTTCCTTCCTGTTATATAAAGCCTCATTTTTATTACTTTGTCACTCCTGGAGTTGCTCCAACATTACAAGCTCGACTTCTTTTCAAACTGTTGATAATACTGCTTTTTCCAACATTTGGCAAACCTGTAATGAAATATAAGGAATAATACTGGAATAACTTTTGGTGAAATTACACATTTATATAAACATTTGCAAGAAATAAAAATACGGTTAAATGTACTTACCCACTACACCAACAGATATAGAAGTCTTTATGCCTTTATTGCGGCAGTAATTGGCTAAAAGGGACATCACAAGCTCTGCCCCAAAACATTTAGACCCCTGGAGATCCTTATTTTCAACTAATACTTCATTTGTTACTTTTCTCTCAATAGCAGAGGACTTCTTCATTTTTCTCCGCCCCAAGCGTCTGCTCTGCAGCTGTGTACTAGCTTTGAATGGAACAGCTGGTAAACTTCTTCTAAGGTACTTCAGCCATGCTTCCAGATTCTCTCGTGGCACAAGGTCTGTCAACATTTGAAGCAATTTCAAGATATATGTAATTAGTTTTTTCCCCCTCACAAACATGAGCCCATAATCTGTTACATGATTATGACTGTGCTGAATGTGTCTACAAATGCTCTCTAAGTGACATTCAATCATACTAATTTCTCATAGACAACCATGGTTTGGGGAAGCATCAATGTGGATTTTCATGTAATATATCAGTTACAGTGAAACCTTCATTTAGAGTCAACCAAACCAGTCTGACAGTGCAAATGGGCAATGTTGATCTACCCCAGAAAAATGAGGTGAAATACCTGGGCATGCATCTCGATAGAAGACTGATATGGACAAAGCACGCCTAAACCAAAATGCGAAACAAATGCACAGGCTACTTGGAAGAAGATGAACATTACAAATAGAAAGCAAACTCATCCTATAGAATAACTCATATGTATACTCTTTTTTGTTGTTGTTCACTTAGGTATCATTTTAATTCCTCTATTTGGGTTTTACTCAAGTCAGTCTGGTAATTACTACATTTAAAAATAAATATTTAGGACTGTGTATGCGCTTCTACTAGTGGTGTGTGTGCTCACTTCCACTAGCAGAGTTTAAATGCCCGACTGGCCAAAACGGGGTACTTTGGCCACGACGACCTTACTCATCGCTGGCCTGAACAGGGCACTTCAGATGTTAAAGGTTAAGCACAGGAACAACTTTACGATTTTACCTCAGTATTAAAAACATTAATATCATAATAGGAATATGTAACATAACAGCCATAATATTAAAATTATACTTCTTATGCAGGAAACAGTTTTATGTGGGAAACATATTTGTGGGTTAAAAATTCACTAGCCTTATTGGGGAAATTCTTGTGACCAAATAACTTAAATATTTCAAGTTGGAAAACTCCTTAAACAGGAATGTCTTAGGCAGATTCCATTGTATTAGCTCAAATCAATGGAGTCAGAGTCATAATTACAAACCTGCTTTATTCAGCACTAAAACAAGACGTTTGTTGCCACTGCTCTCTAAAACAGCCTGTTCGACTTGTTTACATCGTGTTCCAAGCGGATCCCTTGCATCTATGACTTCCAGTACAACATCTGCAGCTTCCAGAACCTGAAACATTTACACTAACACAGCTTTCTCTATAGAATGGTAGTAACAGATGTGAGCCATATAAATGACATATGTCATGATGGAAGGTGTACTAGTGAAATTAAATCCAGGATTGCCATGGCAAAAGCTGCATTTAGCAAGAAGAAGAATCTCTTTACCAGCAAATTGGACTTAAATTTGAGAAAGAAACTAGTGAAATGCTACATTTGGAGCATATATCTGTATGGGGCTGAAACATGGACACTTAGGGCAGTAGATCAGAAACATCTGGAAAGTTTCGAAATGTGGTGTTGGAGAAGGATGGAGAAGATCAGTTGGACCGATTATGTGAGAAATGAAGAAGTGTTAATTAGAGTCAGTGAGCAGAGGAATATCCTACACAAAATAAGAAAAGGAAGGCTAATTGGATTGGTCATGTTTTACGCAGAAACTGCCTTCTAAAAGAAGTTATTGAAGGAAAGATAGAGGGGCGGACAGAAGTGACAAGAAGACGAGGAAGAAGATGTAAGAAGATGCTGGATGACCTTGTGGACAGAAGAGGATACTGTCATTTGAAGGAGAAAGCTCTAGATCGCATTAAGTGGAGGAATTGTTTTGGAAGAGATGGTGGACCTGTCTTCTGACAGATTACTGATGATGATGATGTAACATAAACCTATGATGAGAAAAATGCAAACAAAATGACTATAAGAAATACACAACATTGTGGAAGTCAGTAAAATATCTTGCACCATGCCAGAACTCCTGTGGTGCTGAATACTTCTTCAGAAACTAACAGTTGCTCGGCTACTCACAAAACTTCCAGCATCTCATAGAACTCAAACGTCCATTACCACATTCACAAGAGTCCTATCGGTCCCTATCCTCAGCCACATGAATCCAGTCCATACCTTCCCATCCTAGTTCTCAAAGATCCATTTTAATATTATCATCATATGTATGTTGAGGCCTTCCCAGAAGCCTCTTTCCTTCTGCTTTCCCTACCAAAGCGAATGCTTCAGCTATCTTGAATATCTGAGTTTATTAAACAGAAATGGACAACATTTTTCCTCAGGAAAATAAGTGAAGTATCACATATAACTTCTTCAGAAATTACCTTTTTAAATTCCTTGTAATAAGCTTTAACTGAACCGTCAGCTTTATGGGGCATTTCAGTGACGTCTGATGCATCACTGACACTGAAGTTCTCATGCAATTTTTGCCGTTTTTCAGCATTTTCAACAAAACCCTGTAAACCCTCTTCAGCTCCTTCTTGTTTTGCTTCTTTGATTTTCTTCTTCTCTTCCCTCCAGATCTCTTTCTGTTTTTGTTTAGCTTCTTCTTTCTGTTTCCTCAATGCTTCTACTTCTTTCAGGATATCTTCCTTGAATGGGCAAATATTTGGCACTTGTATCAGTTTATTCTTTCGCTCTGAAAATACAGAACAAGTTTTGTCATACGCAAAATTATGTTACCAGTTTTGTGGATGGCAAAGTCCGTGGCTTGCTGCACAGAATGAGGCTAAACAGTTGTCACCCTCACTTCTTATTCCATGTTTATTGGGTGTCTTGCGGAAACCTGATATAATAATTGTGAAGTCTCAGCACAATGCATGAATTTCATTCTACATACTGAGGTGGTGCAATGCACAATTTTAGGTTAGGTAAAGTGAAGTAATACCCCTGTGCTTAATGAATGAAGTACCACATGATTAAGGTCTATGTTGGAGTGAAGGTACAGCTCCACCATTCTTAACCTCAGCACTGGATGGAGAAAGACAGCTTTATGCACTGTCCACTTCACCCATGGGGAAAGAGCCTCTGATTCCTACTGGACAGAAAACTTGGTGAGCCCCAAAGTTAGTGTGCATACTGTGAAGAGAAAAACCCCTCCCTGCCAGGAAATGATCCCGCATGAGCCTCTAGCCTGTGACAGTACCAACTGAGTTGTCTCATTTCCCAGGGCTGGTAACCATAACACCAAAAGGATACCTCCAGACTTGTCTGAACCATGTATTCCATTAAAAACCTTTAACACCTTTCGAAAGCTCACAAACAGCACATTAACTTCATGATGCCTAGAAACTAAGAGGAGAAAGAGAGTTGTCTTGACAACTTGTGCCGTCTGCATGACGCCTGATTTTATATTTTATTGGACAAAGTATGTATGATGTGTAGTCATCATGAATTTGTAATTTGTGACATGTTTTATATCCAGCCCTACAGGGAGACGATTGGATCCATGAAGTGAAAATAAATGTAAATGTTCTTCATAATTTTCACGAAAATCTGCCAGTTACATGTTCACTAGCAATTCAGCGAAGATTTCAGAGTGTCTGATGTTCTGTACATTCAAACTGAGCACCTCTCAAACACACATCTCTAATGTTACCACTACATATACCCCCTAATCATTAGTCCTCTTGCTATAGCTAACTGTTGTTGTATTTAGTGTTTTGTTAATGCTGTAATATAGCGATTAGAAATTTATAAATTGTCATTTAGTACAGTGGTTCTCAACGGGGGCCATATGGCCCCCCAGTGGGCCAAGCCATATTTCTGTGGGGCCGCAGATAAAATTTGGAAAAATGGAGGGCCATAGAAACTGTTAAGTGGGCCACAAAATTTTCACTTCTAAAATAAAATTATTAATAATATAAAAAGAAATAAAAATGCCAAAATGGTCAGTACATATAATAACACAATAACTCAATATCCTTGTTTTTGTGTACCTTACTTAGAAGGGACAGAACCTATTGTACTTAAACCACAACCTTAAATCTGGGAATTCCAAGTACCGGTAAACAGATACGCACCTCCTCAGAGCGGGTAGAGCCCTAACAAATTATCCTTTATTTTCCTAAATATCTCCCCCTCCTCTCATGAGTTACTTTTTCAGTAAATTTTGGGTTTCTTCAGTTCAGTATTCGAAGTGTTTGGAAGAAGACATTTTTCTGCGCAAGTTCTATTATTGTGGCAGTTCCCTACTTTGTAGATAAGTTACAAACTCCAGCTACCAGCTACTATTTTTCAACAAATAAGCATTACATTTCATAATAACTGGAACTTTCATTACAAATAAATTATTAGCTTTCAATAGAATTTGAATGCCCTCCCTCTACAAGAAAAAATACTGTGAATTGATTACAGCAATTTTGTATTTATTTGAAGTAGAATGGCTTTCAAAGTAATTTTTATGAATATTGACTTCTAAAATTTTCCACATATTCAAAAAATTTAGAAATATGGCAGTCATAAAATCAATAACCAATATTACATTTATTATAATTAAACAATATGAAGGCTGGGAGGGGGGCCACAGAACTGAATGAAAGTCAGAAGTGGGCCATGAGCAAAAAAAGGTTGAGAACCACTGATTTAGTAGACCCAAATTCTTCTGTTGTATACTCATTTACATTTTCACACTGCTGGCATAGGTGATGCAGTAGGAGTCACAAATTATTATTCTTTAGTCTGAAAACATAAAAATTATTAAAGATTTTTATTTTAATCTTACTTTTTCCTGGATTCTTCCTCTTTTCACGTTTCACTTTCCTGTTGTGTTCTCGCACTTTCTTCTCAATTTTATAACGTTTCCGACATGATATCCTCTTGCTTGTCTTCTCTGGAAATCAAGAATTCAACTTAAATTTCTATAGCATATTCATTCAAAGTACTGGATTTCACATAAAAGACTAATCAAAATTAATTCATGCACCTTATATGTTTTGAAGATAATTAAATATATATTACTGTTATTGAAACATAAAACCACATTTATTAAACTTTCCAGAAGATATGAATATTTGAAATATTCTTTTATTCATGCAAGTAAATAAATAGTCTCCCAACCAGACTGAATCCTGAATGTACAGACACCCCAGTCATCAATGTAAAATATTCTGTTTCATTCTGCATTTAATGTCAAGGCTTACAGTGAATTTTACAGCTCTTTTCAATCATAAATGAATA